AATGTGCTTATAGTTGTGCAGATCTGGGCTGAGGTTTTGCTCCTCTGTGTGTTATTTTCCATTTTAGTGTGTAAGCAATCGTAAAAAACTGTAAGCATCTCTCTTCTGTTCAGTGTTAACAGGTTGAGTTAGAACAATGTGTTATAATTTCTTCATAGTATAATGCTCAGGTTAAAACTACATTTATTATTATTATAATGTCCAGGGTATAATGGCTAGGTTAAAAACAGAAATTATATTATATATAGTTTGTGATATTAGCTTACTTTGCGGCAAAAGCATTCTCTGTTGACTTTTATTATTTGATAAATAAAAACTTGTCTTGATAAGTTATGCAAATGGTTAATTATTTGAATGACTACATCACAAAGAGTCAAGTCTTGTAAAAGCATTAGATTGAAAACATTGACTTTTCATAAAAGTGTGTAAATAATAGAAATGCAGTTCAAAATTGCCTTTCTGTATATGCAAATGTTCTTTAAGTATTTAATTTGTGTAGCTAAAGCATGTATTCACTATACTCCTAATTACAAGAAGAAGAAGAAAAAACTGCTCTTAAGCTGGGTGTGCGACAGGTATGGCTGTGGAATGGGGTTTGGCCGAGGAAAAATTTTCAGTCAAATTGGGTCAGCACGAACTGGGTTAAGCAAATTTTAAAATGTAAAGTATATGAAAACAGCATGTTGCTGTTTTTTCCCTAGTCCATTTGGAATCTATGAATTTTCTATTGACAAGTTTTTAGCCTCTGGGGAGAGCATTAAGCAGTTTTAAATACTCCAAAAAATAAAAACATCACAGCATTCACCTCAACAGTTGCTGCATAAAATCTCTAAATATATATACACCCACATCACAGTCATTACAGTTTATTTGTTTAACCATATCTAAACCTGAAATCCGTTGTGATTCTAATCCAACAGTAAAAACCCTGCTGATAGTTCAGAAGGTTAAAGTTGGTTTCACAAGAGTTTGATTTATAAATTCAAACATTTGTATAACATATATATATATCTATTTAAAAATTATTGACATGCTTTATGAGTTAAATATGGAAATGGACATTTGAATCAGCGAATATAGTGGTTTAAGCAAATAGAAATATGTTTTAAGAAAATTAAGTCTTGAATATGAGCCTGACATTTTTCAAATGATTAGCCACTACACACATAGTCTGTTTCACGACCAACAGTCTCTATTAAACCATGCTTCTCAGTTGCATTTACATTTTTTTGTGGGCTTTACTAATTGTTTCTTTTTCAAAATTTCTTGGTCAACATCAGACTTCATCTTGGAGGGAGATTACTTATTGGGTGGTCTTTTCCCTTTACATGAAATTGAACAGGAAACAACCCTGTTTTCAGCAGAGACCACCGAATGTTTCAGGTAAGCAAGGACCTTTCACCAGTCTAGGGTTATCAATGCACAGTATTTTAAATTAAAGCAGCATTTTCTCAAAGTCCTCATTACTAAACTGAATATTCAATTACATGCTATTAACTTCCTCACTGATGTTTTCAAGGCACATTTCCTCAAAATCTGGATATCACATGTTGCAAGTAATGAGGTTTGCTGTTGAGGAGATTAATAACTCCACCACTCTTCTGCCCAATGTTTCTCTGGGCTATGAAATTTTTGACTATTGTTCTAATACAAAAAATTTCAATTCAGCCTTAAGTTTCATCTCAAAGAATGGCTCAATAAAACCTAAAGAAAAACTCAACAGTTCACCAGTCTAGGGTTATCAATGCACAGTATTTTAAATTAAAGCAGCATTTTCTCAAAGTCCTCATTACTAAACTGAATATTCAATTACATGCTATTAACTTCCTCACTGATGTTTTCAAGGCACATTTCCTCAAAATCTGGATATCACATGTTGCAAGTAATGAGGTTTGCTGTTGAGGAGATTAATAACTCTACCACTCTTCTGCCCAATGTTTTTCTGGGCTATGAAATTTTTGACTATTGTTCTAATACAAAAAATTTCAATTCAGCCTTAAGTTTCATCTCAAAGAATGGCTCAATAAGACCTAAAGAAAAACTAAACAACTATCAGCCTAAAGTGATTGCTTTAACAGGACCATATGGAAGCACAAGAACTATGACTATTGCACCACTGTTCACAATGGACCTTATACCAATGGTAAATTATGTGTCTTTTTATACAGTATACATAATAAAATACTTGCACACTTTCTTCCTACCTTTTGTTTAGGACTTCCAAGCTACTACATATATATAAATGTCTTCTCTTTCAAAGGTGAATTATGGAGCTTCTAGCTATGTCTTAAGCGATAAACATCAGTATCCTTCTTATGTAAGAACAATTCCTATCAACAAAGACCTGATAGAGATGATTATTCACATCATACGGTGGTTTGGATGGAACTGGGTTGCCTTTCTTGGTAGCCAAGATGATAACAGTTCAGATGGTCTAAAGCTGTTTAACAAGTATATAAGCAATACTGGCATTTGTTTGGCCTATCAAGAGGGTCTTAGTTCAAACGCAAACTACAGTCTAACACTTAAAAAGATTGACATGCTCAACATCAATGTTATTGTAGTTTTTGCTTTGCCACAATACGCAAGCAAATTCATCAAAGCAGCTATAGCTAACAACATCCAAGACAAAGTATGGATTGCAAGAAATGCATGGGCTATGAATCAACAGCTTCCAAGAGAGCCAGGAATTGCAAAAATTGGCACAGTCATTGGCATTGCAGAGAGACTGTTGTCATTCCCCGGATTTAATCAATTTGTTTATAAAGCCAGAGGAACAACTGATGTTGGCCACAATGATTCTGAGGGTGCAATCAAGAGTAAGACATGTAATCAAGATTGTGATTACTGCTCATTGTTGACTGCAGAAGAGATTATAAATGAAAATCCCACATTCTCCTTCTCCATCTATGCTGCCATATATACCATAGCTCATGCATTACATAAAGTTCTGCAGTGCGACATGAATAAACGCCACAAAAATAAAATGGCCAAGCCATACATGGTAAGTGAACTCATGTGAATCCATGACAAGTTGAATCAGTATTATTATACTTTATATTGCATTATCGCTTACATTATTGAATTATTATGCAATAATTTAATAAATGAGCAAAACAAAAGTAATATTAATGTTATTAATGTTATAGTAATATGATATTAATATATTATAACATTGATGATAGTTATATTACTATACATTATTTGTCTTTTTATTTCTTTACACACTTCACAACAGCTTCTGGAGGAGATAAAGAAGTTGGATTTTCCACTCAGTGGTCGTCAGGTGAAATACAATAAAATTATGATCCAACCATCAGTTATGCAGTTGTGCTCTGGCGCACTGATGTGAATCCTCCACAGTTTGAGATGGTGGGCACATATGAGAAACTTCCAGAAATTACTTTTACCATTGATAACTCTCTCCTTCCCTGGCATAACAATGGTCCAGTAAGTCTTTTTCTTTTTTTTTGAGCCTCTATCTAAATATTTAGCTTTGTAGATACTTGTAGTACAGTTTTCTCTACCAATTTTACACATTTTTTCCACATGAAAGTCAACTAACAGACTTCTACTTTAGCAAAATTCAATTTATCGTCATGATGAGTGAAAAATGAGGTTTGCTGTTGAGGAGATTAAAGGGGTCATGCACTGCCTTTTCTTATTATTTTGTACTGTTCTCTGAGATCCACTTATAATGTTAGCATGATTTTCACATTAAAAAACATAATAATTTAGAAGTAATAGACTGTTTTCTATCCTATTTTGACCCCCTCAATCGGAACACTCCATTTAAATAGGCGTGGTGGATTGTAGACTGCATGACTGGCTAACTGTTGTGTGTGTTTGACAGCCTACATCCTTCACAGATGGTCACTGCTGTGATTTAGGTTAAAAATGCATAAATACTCAGTACATATCAAACAATCTGTAATAACAGACAAAGCAATAATGACCACGCAATTAAAAACAGTAATGCGGCACATTACTGCCGGACCCAATATAGTCGGCACAGCATTGTCTTTTCATTTAAATCTTTCTGAAAAAAATCCTGTGTCAAATTGTGCCTTGTTTATAAACAAATCAATGGTAACATGAAGTGAACAAAGGACTAAGTTCTTACTGATGTGTCCACTCTTTCCTATTGTTGGGATCAGAAGGAAGGTAATGCAAAGACTGTTTTTCCACAACTTGGCACTGTACATCATCTTGTCTTCGGAGCCATCTTTATCGTTTGGTTTCTGCACAGACCTGTGTTTGCCTCTCTTGTTATTTACCTACTATTTGTGCAAATCGGTGGGCTGGGCTGAACAGGGTGATGTGTGATGTAGAAGCAGGCTTTGATTTTCTTCTGCGGAGGCAGTGTTTAGCTACTCTATTACATCATAAAGAGGCACATTCCGCAACCTGTCGTTTTGGCAGATTGGTTTCAATATAAGCTGTTTTTAGACTAACAAGAAAGTTTTGAGTTCTGAAACGTACAGGATGTTTTTATAGTACAATGACTTTTTATATGTCGAAAGATCAAGGGAATTTTGATTTCCCTTTAAAGGGGTCATGAAATTAAGAATCAAAATGTTCTTGATATTTACACATATGAGAGGTTACACTGCAATAAAAACATATTACAATTTGCAAAGCTCAAAACTAACTCCTCGGGTTAAAATATTAGTTATTGTTACTCTTCTGAACTGCCAGTATTTGAAATCGGTACAATCATGATGTCACAATTTGTGGTGTTTGTACGTAACAAAATACGTTAGTTCCTACACACAAATCCATGTCTGTCCAGCAATCACAAGAGCTAAACTACTATTAAGTAAAGATAGGACTTTTGGTGCAAACAAACTTCCTCATCTAGCCTTGAGAAGCAATATAAAAATCTGAAACTGCATTTCATGACCATCATGGTCAGCACAAGCTTGGTGGCGTTATCCGCTCAATGTTTCAGAGAACCGGGGGTTATGAACAGTGGAGATATGGACAGCCCCATGGTTGCACAATGCGCTCACAGTAGCCGCGTTTTCACTGTCAGGCCAAAAGCGGACATGCTAGTGCATGCCAGGGCCAGTTGCATTTTCATTCTCACTTCTGGGGCTTGATTGTGCCTCATCTGTGCTTCCTTGGGGCCAACCCCCGGCATTTTTGGGCCTGCCAAATACCTTGGGCCAAAACAAGCAAACTGGGTCTAGAGGAGTGGTCATGTTCAAAGCCGGAGTTTATACGAATCAGGAGACAGTCATCATGGCTTCTCATTTCCCATGTTTTTATATCAAGCTATCAGTTAAAATCAGCATTTAAAACATTTAAAACATTTTTAAAATATTTTTTAATTAACCTTCAGATACAGGCAAGTGTCTGAAATAACTTACATTATCATTCTGTTCATTGTGTGAGGCAGACATTTATTATATGCGATGCCAAAGGCTATGCATGTTAACCATCTAAATTAAAATAAATACACATTATGCTTATGAAAATACCAGAGACCACTGGAGGAGCTTATCTGGAAGAAATTTAACACAAATCATATGTGATTATAATTGTGTATTTATTTGGTTTCTTGTTCTATCTTTGTCCCGTGTCTTTGTTAATATCGGGCTTCTGCATCCGCATATGTAATACATTTCATATCAGTTTAATAACTCGTACATTTTTCCCCTCACTGGTGAAATGGTGATGTTGTGTGACATTTGCTGCAGAGAGGAATGTTAAGCTTGAGGTGTGAGGCCACTGGCCCTGCCCGACTCATTGTTAGCCCTGGCTCGCACTGGGCCAACAGTGGAAAAGCGGATAGTGAGGCCTGGAAAGCCAGAGCATGGTCAAAGAGGCAACGCTAGATGTTACGGGTCCCACAGAACACGTAGGCAGATTAAAAGTACCTGAATTATCAGGAGAAAACGCAAGGACAAGTAAGCTTCTGTGGCTTTCCTCAGGCGCAGCTCAGTAGCGTCTAAGGTAAACAATGCGCATCACCATGGCAACCTACAGCGCTTACTTTCTCTGGTGGTTAGAGCTGTGTTGTTTCAAACTCAGTCTTTAGTGGTGATAATTAGTAAGTGACTCAGTATACCATAAACTTTTCACATCATACATAAATAAATACATACATGAATAAATAAATAAATAAATAAATATTAATAACCAATCAAACATTACAACTGTGAATACACAGTGGTTTATAACACACTCCCCAGCAAAGAGATGATGGCCCCTGCCAACATATTCTTTCATCATAACGCCTCTTTTATTTTTACTCTTCTAGTACCCGATTGCCATAGGAGGTACCCAACATGGAAATGTGACTTGTGGCGTAAGAATAGAGTAAGGTGCACTAATGCAAGATGTAATAAGGTAAGGTGGAATGTGGTATGGTCCAACTTGGTGAGATGATAACCCCCAATATGGTGTCTGATTTATTTCGTAAGTCTCTAAACTGTTTACTGTTGAGTGTGACTGAATTGCTGGCTGACCTAGCATTTCATAAGCTAACCTTGGTGTGGGCCTCCTGTCACGTGTGGATCTTCGGACTTGGCTTGTTTGGTCAATTTAATCTGAACTTAAGGTAGGTATTTTTAGAACTTCTTGCATAGGTATATCACCTTCATTTATAAGACTACATTCTCTCTCGCCCTGTTCCTCCTCTTCTTCAGGTCGTTCTGCCAGTGTTTCTGTTCATGTCACTTGTCTTTCAAAGGTAAAATAATTTTCATCAGGGAGATTACAGGTAAGTCTTTCATTTTCTGTAGGTTGTTCTCTCCGAATCTCTGTCCGTTTTCTTGGTCTTTCTCTTTCAGGTTGTTCACAGGATTGCCATCGCAGAGGATCACAGGTAGGCATGTTGTGCTCCCAGGGTCTCTGTCCACTGTCTTTGTCTTTCAGGTTGTGTATGGTATCGTTGTCGTGGAGGATCACAGGTAGGTTCCTTGGCAGGTTGGTTAATGGTAAGTCTTTGGTTGTTCTCTCGGGTGTCTTGTTCCCTTAGCCAATAGTAGTTCTCGTCATCCTGCTCCTCATCACTATCAGAGTCACAAGGTGATCCTGTCTCATCTTGTGGTCTTGTTTGGTTTCTTTTGGTCCTCTATTTAGATGCTCCCTCTGGCATCTCTACTGGTAA